ATTTCTCAGGTTAACGTTTTGGGCTACCATATGACAGCACCGTCCCTAGCCCCTCCTCAATCCGAGCTCGGAGACAAAAATTGGGACCGGAAATCATTTCAGATGAGAGATGATCCCCCTAATCCATCCTCCGTCCTCAGCAAAAAGACATAGCACAGACGCATTGATCGGGGGCGGCTATGGCAGTTGGTTGGCAGTAATGGCACATACTTTTTAGTATGCGGGATGCCCGCAAGGGATTTGATTGTACAGCCTAACTATCCTAATCCACTGGAATTACGCGCTAGGACAGACGGGCGGTTCGGTTCTGGCTGTTTCTCGCTGGAAGGGAAGCTGCCAGCACGATGGATCTGCTCATTAGGGGCCGATGACTGCCAATAGTTCAAGCGACCGCGTCCCCATCCTTAGACTCAATGGGGTAAGGGGCAAAGCCATGAAGGATGATGCACCATGCACCATGCAGGCTGGACGCGTACGGAGAGATAGCTTAGTCTGCCACTATAATCACGATCCCCGCGTTCCCCCGGAGAGGTAATACTGGCGAATGCTCGGGCTTTCACCTCACCCACCCGTACGAGATTACGATGGGAGAGTCTCGACGCAATGGGATTGTTCCAATTGCTAGTAGACTTGAGTGTTAGTGTTGAGCTGAAAACTGCGAAGGAAGCAGATCTGCCATTTCCCCATTGGGGCTTAGCTTGGCCGGGGCCACACCAACCCGATTGGGAAACACGCAGTGCCTGACGAGGCAACGATTGGCGCCCATTATTTGTCATCTGCTTCGAGGCTCAAACAGACTATCGCTCGGACTACTGACGCCGCACCGATACTAACTCGGCTCTAATGATAGCTAGATACTTATCACGCCAGCTATCGATCTATCTATATCGGTGCTGGAGCTGAGCGGGAGTTGGTGCTGGACCTGTATCCGACTGCACTCCTCATTTGCTCAGCGAACATGGCTGAGAATGCCTTCTACTCTCTGGTCACCCACTTCGATGTGACCGCCTGACTCATGGCGGATCATCTTAAGACATCAACGGGCGGAATACACACTAAACCAGAGACTAGAGCGGAGAAGGAAAACCGAGAAGCTCAGACACGGAAAAGCTCATCCAAAAATCACCGGTGTTGACCATCGCTTCATATGGCGATCAGTCTGGTTGCACATCCGACCTCACACAACAAGTGCTAGTACGTGTCCGGGCTACACAAGGATATGAATTAATTTTCCGAGAAGGGTCTTCCCGAGAGGGCCCTAGCCATGCTTGGTTTGCGCAGAGCGACACGAGGGGCAATGATCACAGCAGACGCCTAGAGTTGTCTCTGCAACGCCTCGGATATAACTGCTTCTTGCCAACCCGACCCGAGTCATGGGACATCGTGATACGTATCTTTTCTGTTCCGTTCCTTTGGATTGGGCTACATTGTACATCCCTTGGATTTTATTCGATCGCCGTCTAGGCGCGCGGATATGGTAACAGCACAGCAGTGTTGCGTGATAGTTCAATCCGAATACCCGTATCGCTGTGAAGAATCCTCAGATCACGGCGATCACTTTTTCTGCGCTTCACACAGCTTGCGTGTGGTATAATCTACGACCAATTCAAGATTTTGGAAAAAAAGGTAAGGGGGGATTGCCACATTGCCAACGATAACAACGTACATAAAGAACTGACGCAAGATCTAGTCGAGCCAGACAATACGATCCGCCATTCGATGGACACTCGCTCTTCACCGAGGTATTGGGCGTCGGGAGTGCGTACTCCGTACGTGTTGACGGCGCTTTGAGCGGACCGAGTGAAAGAGCCACCGTAACGCGGATTGCAGCGACACGACTTCGGAATGACCGTGTACTTCTCTTGGTCCCGGCTTACGATGCTTCGGAGAAGAGAACCAATCAGTCTAGCCTCGTTGCTGGCACGGTGGGTTGCGTGATCTCGAGCATGCCAACGGGTTAAGTCCTCCCAACGATATCGACGTGGCGAGTATGAATGCATCATCATGGCGGCTGTACATGGTATCTCATGCGCTCAGTGTGGCTGCTGTGGAACGTGCTGTCGCTACGCGCCCCGTGACAGCCCCAGTGAGGGCAAGTTAGTGCTGCGTATGAAGTACGCCAGCTAGGAGCGGCACCTCACTATCGAAAACTGCGAGCTGGACGGACGTGATTGTCTGCGCGAGTCAGCAGTTGCGTAGGAAAACTTTGATAATCTTTGACGGAGCGATACACGGTGACCGCGTTGACTTCAGCCTTGGCGGTGGCACTTATCCAGTCTACCGGGAGGCCAGATTTTGCGAGCGACATGGCTGCATGACGGACGTTGAGGCGGGCAGCCTGTGCTGCGTTGCGGAGTGACCAGTCATCTGCATGGGGCGTTGATGTTGAGCACGTCCGATAATGGCAAATTCAGCAGAGTGTCGGTGAGGATATGACGAGTATTGTTGTGAGTTACCCAGTCTGACTTCAAAGTGTCCGCTCCTTTAACTTTGGGCATTCCGCTTCCTAAACGCTATTTCAACTTTTTCTCCTTTGGGTCAGTCAAAGCGATCCCTTATCGGAACGGTCCGTGAAGAGCGCCATTGCTCGCTCCACCAGCGATGGAAGGGGCAGTCAATTATTGACAACGGAGGTAAATCCTTCCATGTCTGCATATCAGACGGCACTTGAAAGCTCCCTATCTCCCTGGCCCGTGCCCTGCTACGGGGTGAATACTCCGTCTGAAGCAGGGTAGATCATCAACAGACTGCCAGTGAGTATGGCTGTTCTATAGCGGCCTGATATGAGGCTTCGATATCAGCCCATTGTAATTGCGACTGATCTGCACTGATACTGCTGAAGTACTAGCTGTGTATCTGCCAACTTAGTATAGTCTGTTAGCAGATATGTCAATCGATAAAGATCATCATACCTGGACTCACTATTATTATGCCAAGTCAATTGACTCTTTCATAACACCAGTCTGTTTCGCAATGACCACTTCCTGAAATATAACAGTGCGAATTACCTCTGCTAGTTCAACGCACTGACAGAGCCCAGTTGTGAGCTGCACTAATAGCAAGAGAGCCCATTGTGATGTACTCCCCAGTAGTATTATGCCACAGGTGCTCAATCAGCCCAGTATAGTTGATCATCGAAAGCTTCTGAATAGATATCTCAATTCCAGTGTCAGGCGCAAGCCAATAATTATCAGACACAGTGTTTGTTCTACGTTGATCTACACTCCCTACCAGCGTATCCAAGCCACTTATCTATCTTGTTGGCGGCAGGTTATTCTACTGGCATTCTCGTTGATTCATGCTTTACTCATGATATATCTTTCTGATATCGGGTATCCCTCAGGGCTTGGTTAGTATCACTCGACTACTAGCCTATAAGCTAGAGCGTAGACTTACTAGGAGGTATGAGGTGTTGAGTAGTATCCAGCAATCTCATTGGTCTAGTAGATCAATCCTTTGTCTGTATAATATTAGTTGATTGACCTATGTTATAGACATATTGTAAACACATGAAGATGATGCCATTGATAGACACTCAATGATATACCCTAATACTCAATGTATACCAACCACATTATACACTCCAACTACACCCTCATCCCTAATACACTCCACCACCAATATCAATATACCTCCTACACCCAACCACCACCACCACATACTAAGTAGAAACAACCCTAATCTCCCCCTCCCCCCTCCCCACCCTCCAATAATTACTCCACCTCACCACCTCCTCCACACACCCCTCAACCACCCACCCCCACTTCCTCAAAAACCCCGGCGTCACCTCCCAACTCTCCTTACAATGCGGCTCGCCCCAAACAATCCACCCATTCCTCGCATTCCCCGAAACCTCACCATCACCATCATCATCCTCATCAACCTCAACCACCACCCTTCCCCCAATCCTCCCATTCACATCCTCCCCACCCCCCTTCAAACCACCATCAAACAACTCCCACCCCTCCATAACATACCCGCCCACCAAATCCCTCACAAACTCCCCATGATCAAAGCACATCTCCCACCGAATCAGATTCTCGCGCATCCGCGGCCACGGTACGAGATCTATCCACGAGTAGTGGGTGAGGGTTCGTTGGGAGGGTGTCGGGAAGAGGGATGCGGGGATAGGTGAGGGGTGGGAGTTGGGGATGGTGGCGGCGTAGATGGGGAAGATGAGGCCTTCGTGGATGAGGTGGATGGATGAGTTGGGGGTTGGGCCGGGCAGGAGGGCTGTGGAGTGGTTGTACAGGAGGGTTTTGTTGGTGTACAGGGCGCGGAAGACGTTGTGGGTTATTAGGTGGAGGAGGTGATCGGGGGGGATACTTGTGGTGGATGAGGAGGTGGGTATGGAGGGTTCAGTGGGTGTTTGTGATTGTATTTTGGAGAGGTTGTGTGAGTGGGATTTGGTTAGTGAGGTTGATGGTGATGATGTCTCGTGTTCTGAGACTCGCCAGCGGTGGACGCTGTATGGACGGGTAGGTTGGTCCTTGTGTTGCTGGTGGTTGCTTTTGAGGCGCAGACCTGGAGGGGATTGTTAGTTTGATAGATTGTATTCGAATGAGGAATACTCACGACGCGCTCGCTGGTTTACTCGGTTCTGGAGCTTCTTGCGCTGCCGTTTCTCGTCGGCGGGTGTAGATGACGGCATCGTCGAGATAGGTAAATTTGTCAGCTGGTGAGGGATTTCCAATATCCAAGAAGTCTGTAGATTCTCCTAGATCTTCTATCTTCGTATGTATCACGAACAGACTACATCCAAAAAGGCAATAACGGTCAGCCATGAAGTCAAAGGAAGACGAAGCCAGATGATGACCCCGTCGAGCTAACCTGAATAGGCAATAATGTCAGCCATTACTTCTGCCTTGATTGTTATAGATTTCTCTTTCTGCATCATTGTCAACCTGCAGAAAATGATATAAATATTCTGTTATGTCTCTCCAAAATGCAGTCTTTTCATCAAACATTCATTGCACTTTCATCTTTTCATATCATCCAAAATGTCTTACTCTGCCGTCCACGCCACCCCCCAAGGCCCGGGTGATGCCCGACCCACAGCCCTCCAAATCGTCCATGACAACAACATGCAAGATCAACTCAAAGGCAAAGCCGCCGTCGTGACGGGCGTCTCCTCTGGCCTAGGAGTCGAGACCGTTCGCGCTCTCGCTGCCACCGGCGCAACGCTGTACCTGACAGCCCGGGACCTGACCAAAGCGCGCACAGCCCTAGGCGACATCTTCCAGCCGGAGAGAATGGAGCTGGTGCAGATGGATCAAGCCTCGCTAGCTAGCGTGCGACAGGCCGCAAAGCTCATCCTGTCCAAGACAAACAAAGTGAATATCCTCATCGGCAACGCGGGGGTCATGGCTGTGCCAGACCTGCAGCTCACAGAGGATGGATACGAGATGCAGTTCGCAACGAACCACCTCGCCCACTTCCTGCTGTTCAATCTGCTCAAGCCAGCTCTACTGGCGGGAAGTACTCCCGAGTTTCATTCACGAGTAGTTCTGGTCTCGAGTTCAGGACATCGCGTGCATGGGATCAACGAAGCGGATAATTATCATTTCCAGAAGGGTGGATATGATCCGTTGGTTGCGTATGGACAGTCCAAGACTGCGAATATCTATACGGCGAGTGAGATTGAGCGGCGGTATGGGGGGCAGGGGTTACATGGGTTGAGTTTGCATCCTGGGATTATTGCTACTGGGCTGGGGAGGTATCTTTCGGAGGAGCAAATTCAGGCGTTGTTGACTGATGAGACGGTGGGTAGGGTTGCGAAGAGTACAGAGCAGGGTGCGGCGACTACACTGTGGGCTGCTGTGGGGAGGGATTGGGAGGGTAAAGGGGGGAAGTATTTGACTGATTGTGCAGAGGCAGAGGATGGAGAGTACGATGGGCATGTTGGGAGGTCGATTGTGAGTTATACGTATTGGCCGGAGGGAGAGGAGCGGTTATGGAGAGATTCGTTGGAGATGGTGGGATTTCATGATTAGATGGTTTTTATTTTTCAGATTTTGTGTTGTTATTTTCAGTTGGTTTTACTTAATAGTTGGCATTGCAATTAATCACTCCACTTTTTCAATCTTTACACTTATGATCGAGTATATATACGAGATGATATAGTAATCATCTGACAGTCTCCCGACAATCAAGAAACGGCCCCCAAAAACAGTCAGCTCACCCCATTCCTCTAATCAATTTTAGCCACACGCTAATCATCCTTCGACAATCAGGCTACAGCCTCATCATGTCAGAGTCAGCGGATGTATAAAGCCCTCTCCTCCCTGCTTTTCTCTTTCCCCCTCATTCTAACTACACTTACTCTACACTCACTACCACTAAGACTCTCACCATGACGAACATGAAGCCCATTACCGTCTGGATAACCCGTACGTTCCAACCACCAATATTATCTACTACCTTTGTATACTAACAATATGATTCATTTTTTATGTATAGCTTCCGGTCCCAATCCATGGAAGGTCAGTCCCCCACACCACTCACACATACCATTCCCTAACTAATAGAGTACTATTAGGTCATCGTCATCCTCGAAGAACTCAACATCCCCTACAAAATCAACTCTTTCGGCTTCGAAGACGTCAAGAAACCCCCATTCATCAACATTAACCCCAATGGCCGTGTACCGGGTATGTGTCCACCCATCATCCCCTCACTATTACCCCACACTATAACCCCCTCACGGCAGCCACCAAATACCACAACACCACAATATAAACACAGCCAACCAAATAACTAATAAAAATACAGCAATCCAAGACCCCAACACCTCCACCCCCACTCCCGATAATCAACCCTTCACCCTCTGGGAATCCGGCGCCATAATCCAATACCTAATCGACCTCTACGACCCCACCCACAAACTCTCCTTCCCACCAACCAACATCCTCGAGAAACATCTCTTAAACCAATACCTGCAGTTCCAAATGAGTGGACAAGGACCGTATTATGGGCAATGTGGATGGTACACCCACCCCCTCTTTCCCCACAATCACCCATTTTCATACCCTAATAAATGCGTTGTTAACTGTGTACAGGTTCTCCACCCTCTCCCCCGAGAAACTCCCCACCGCAATAACCCGCTACCAGACCGAAGTGCACAGAGTCCTATCAGTGCTCAACACCATCCTTACGGGGAAATCGTGGCTAGTTGATGAGAAATGCACGTACGCGGACTTGGCTTTCCTGCCGTGGAATTGTCAGTTGGGGATGTTGATTCCGTCTGATGATGATGATCATGATATTCTGGGCCCGTATCCGTGGGTCAAGGCGTGGCAGGAACGGATGGAGGGGAGGGAGTCGTGGAAGAGGGCGATGGTAGTGAGGGAGGGGTTGATGCGGGAGCAGGGGTTGGGGAGTAATGGGATGCCCGAGGGGGTGAGGGATATTGGGGAGTATGAGGAGGTTATTAGGAGGAGAGAAGAGGGGGATATGAAGAGGGAGAGGGATGAGGAGAGGGTGAATGAGGAGGAGGGGGTGTTGGGGTGTATTGGTATTGGGGGTCAGAGTATGAGGGGTGCTCAGGAACAAGGGAAACAGGGTGAGGAAGAGGACAAGGAAGAGGAAGAGAGGTGGGATGAGCAGACTGGGGTGATGGGATGTGTTGGCGTTGGGAGTGCAGGGAAGTATCAGGAGAGAGAAGCGAGACAGGAAGAGAAAGAGGAAGAAGAGGACAGATGGGATGAAGATATGGGAGTGCCGGGATGCATTGGGGTGGGGAACCCAGGAGTATATCAGACGCAACTATCACGAGCCGAGGGAAAGAAAGACGAAAGATGGGATGAGGAGACCGGAGTGCTAGGATGTTCTAAACTCGGTGTCTAAGTCTACATCACAACATGCCAGTATATTCAGACTCCTGGTATAATTATCACTTTTATCTAACATGGTATCTACATATGCAAAACCTAGCACACAAACCACAAGCCTCAAGTCACCTACTTCTTCCTCGACGGCCGAGCATTCTTCTCGCGTCTCTTCTGCTTCAAGTTCCTAGCTAACCGGATATCATCCGTATTCTTCAACTCACTCTTACCACCCGCCGCGGCCCCTCCAAACTTGCCCAATTGGCGCTCCTTCGCCGCCTCGTTCTTCTTCTTCATCTTATCATAATCTCCACGGAGCGGATCAGCCCGCTTCGGCGCCTGCTCCTTGTTATGCTTGAAGCGTCTACCACCGCGGTAATGGTTAAGATCCGCCCCGAGACCCGGTGTCTCGGCCTCACCCACACGCGGCAGACGAGTGAGTCGCTTGCCCTTCTTCCACGCGTCGAACCGTCCACTGCGGAAGCTGGCAGCGATCTTGGCACCACTCTCACCACGCACCAGACGGGTACCCTTCGATCCGTCTTCGTCGTTCTGTCGCGACACGTACTTCTTGTGACGCTTGTCCCAGCGCATCATGGTGCGAGGCTCGCCGAACCCGCGGCTGCCTTCGTCGCCGAGCAGATCCATGGCTGCGTCGCGGGATGCTTGTGCGAAGTTGGCGTTGGTGCCGGAGTGCACGCCGTACGCGCGGTCTTCGGCCATGTTGGTGTTGTTGGGGGTGTAGGACATGAAGTATTCGGGGTTCTGGAAGGAGGTGGCGCTGGCTTCTTTCTTGGCCTTTTTGTTGCTGGACTGGTTGTAGGAGGAGAAGGTGACTTCGAGGTCGGATTCCGATGCGAGTGACATGTTGTCAGCCGGTCCTTCGCCGGCTTCGTCTTCGTCGGAGAAGGCGCCGTCAGCGTCTTCGGCGTCGGCGTCTCCGGACTTGGTGGGTACATCGTCGTCGTCGAATTCTGATTTCGCTTCCTGGGCGCGCTTCTTCTTCGAGTCGAGTGTGGTACGGACACGCTTGATTGTGTGGAGCGCCTCCTCGTTCTCGGGCTTGCCGCTGCGGCGGTTGTTCACTTCGAAGATGGTCTCGTTGGGCCGGTAGCCTCCGATACGGGCCAGCATCTTCTCGCGCTCGGCTTCGAGTTGACTGGTCTCGTCGTTGAACAGCGGGTGCAGGGCGGTCCAGTTGTCGGATGAGACAACCTCTTTCGAGCGCTTGGCACTTTCCAGTGATGCTGCATTACGTGTGCGCAAGTAGAGCTTTTCACCCTTGCTGGCGACGGAACGCTGCGCCGCAATATCTACCGTATCATCCAAGACCTTGGTCACCCACTCGCAGCTCTGAGACAGGCCGTCGCGGGGAAATCCTCCCACAACCACGTCCTCGGCGAAATTGACACTTTCGCCATGCTCCCGACCGAGGACCAGTCGCCGGCCGAGGAACAGCTGCAGATCGAGAAGGTAGGGGGCATCGGAGTCGCGGACCAGACTGTAACTCCAACCGGTGCGGCCAGCACGCGCGGTACGACCGACACGGTGGACGAAGATCTTGGCTTGCGAGGGGAAGTCGTAATTGATGACGTTGGCCAGAATGGGAATATCGATACCTCTGGCTGCAACGTCAGTGACGACCAGGATGTTGGAAATGCCGGTACGGAAGTTGTGAACTTGGATTTTACGAGCCGTCTGGTCGAGGGAACCGTAAGCGTAGGAAGTAGCGAAACCTGCCTCTTTCAGCAGGGAATACAAGTAGTCGACGTGGTGCTTGGTCGCGGCGAAGATAATCGTCGAATGCTTCGTGGGCGACTCTTTAAAGTTGATTCCTTTGTCGTCCGATCGCTTCCGCTTCTTCGAAAACCTCCCGCCCTTTCCACTGGCGTTCTCTTCCTTCATGCGCTGCGCTGCCTCCGTCGGGCCCGTGGGCATCTTGATCACGTTGTGGAGGATATACATCAGTGCACCCTCCTTGTCACTGGACTTGACCGAGAAGAACGCATTCTGCAAATCAGGCGAGATCTTGCTCTCAGTATCCAAACGAACAAGCGTAGGCTCCTGCAGACCAGCGCGCGCGAATTCAACCAGGGACTTGGGCAGGGTAGCCGAGAAAAGCAGGGTCTGACGAGTAGACGGCAAGCCGTGAAGAATCTCAGTCAACTGGGCAGCGAAACCCATTTCGAACAATCGATCGGCCTCATCGAACACAACGTAGCGGATACTCGACAGATCAAGGTGCATTTCGACCTTCAAATGCAGAAAACGACCGGGCGTCGCAATCACGATATCGGGGTTACCAGCCATCATTGAGAACTGTTCCTCCAAACTATCACCACCAACCAACAACACCGACTTGAGATCCGTGCCCTTCCCCAGCTCCTTCACGACCTTCAACGTCTGTAGCGCCAACTCACGCGACGGTGACAAGATCAAGCCACGAGCTCCGACCTGGGTACTATGGCTCTTCAACTTCTGAATCATAGGAATGACAAACGCAGCGGTCTTTCCCGAACCCGTGCGCGCCATACCCACGACATCTTGATCCTCCATAATCACCGGAATCGTCTTGCGCTGAATAGGCGTCGGCACGGAGAAACCCTTCCTCGTAATAGCCTTCAACAAGTTCGCATTCAATCCCATGGCCTGGAAACCACCGCCCTTCTTCACCGTGCGACCCTTCAAATTCGACGCCTTCCGGTTTGCCGACGCCTGCGTCTCCGCGATAAACGCCTCGTCGTCTTCATCGTCGTCATCATCGCCGCCGCCGCCGTTCAGAAAATCGAGCTGCTCGGGCGCCGCTGCCTTCGGTTGGCGCTTGGGTTGCTTCGCGGGGGCCTCGTTGTCGGACTCGCTGTCATTTTGGAACAGCGCATTCGTGATGTCAAATTCATTCTCCGACATAGCCGGAGAAGCGGCTCGACCAGGCATTTTGAAGTAGTGGTCCGGTCAGCCTGGATGGAGAATTGGAACCTATCGTGAGTATGCAACTACTTATCGGCGAGACTTTTTTTGAGAATTCCGCCGGGCGGTGAGGATAATCGCATCAACGTTGTGCCGGAGCAAACGGATCAATAAGAGGCAAACAGGGCAAACACTTTGTCTCTCCCCGCGACGCGTCGGACACGTCCCGATGCGGTAAAATGCATTGCGTCCTGGAATCAATCTTCACTTGATATACCCATTTCTCTATATTCACTTACCACTTCAGAAGCACACATAGACACCATGGGTGAGTACATCGTACCTACACTATATCCCTCCTCCCTATGCTATACTACTCCCCCTTACACCCACCCTCCACACCATCCTTCCCTCACGCGTCCACATATCCCAACTAACCACCCCTCCAGACAGCGGCTATAACAATTACAGCAGCACCTACAGCGGCGGCGGCGGCGGCGGCGGTGGCGGCGGCTTCATGCCCGGCGAGATGAACAATAGCCCATCTGGAGGAAAGGTACATTGCCCCCATCCCCCAACTACCTCATCCATCCCATCCCATACTAATGATAAAATAAAAAAATCTCAGTCCGACTACGCCAACCAAACCCTCCGCCCAATAACCATCAAACAAGCACTCGACGCAATCCAACCATACCCCGAAGCCCCCTACCAGATTGACTCAGCCGAGATTTCCAGCATCTGCTTCATCGGCCAAGTGCGCAACATCAGCTCTCAAAGCACAAACGTCACATACAAGATCGACGACGGCACAGGCGAGATCGAAGCGAAGCAATGGATCGACTCTATGACGGCCGACACTATGGACACGGACGACGCAGCCAATCCCAAAGCTGCCCGCGGAAGGGACGGGAAAGTAGAGTTGAATGGCTACGCCAAGGTGTTTGGGAAGTTGAAGTCGTTTGGAAATAAGAGGTTTGTGGGTGCGCATTGCGTGCGGCCCGTTCAGAGTCTGGATGAGGTGCATTGTCATCTTCTTGAGGCGAGTGCTGTGCATTTGTTCTTTACGAGGGGGGCGCCGGGTGCGGCTGCTGGTGGCAATGCTGTGAAGGGAGCGGGGGATGCGGCGATGGGTGGTACGGGAGATGAGTATGGTGCTGGGGCTGGTGTAGGGAAGAATCTGCCTGCGATGAGTCCTGTCGCGAAGAGAGTATATCAATTGTTGAGGACGGAGCCGCAGAGTAATGAGGGGTTGCATGCGCAGTTGATTGCGGCGAAGCTGAGTTTGCCCATGCCGGATGTGGCCAGGGCTGGGGATGAGTTGCTCACTGCGGGTGTGATCTTTTCGACGGTGGATGAGCAGACGTGGGCGATTTTGGAGTTTTAAGTTAATGGTTTTTTCCTTGTGTGGGTGGATGAAAATAATTTGATGTGATTATGGCATTTATTATTGCATGAATTTAGGATTGTTACTATTTACGTAGGGTCATTATTGAGGCATCATCTTGTACATTTACTAACTCCACTACTTCATATCGTAATACATCACATCATCATCACATACTGGTATAAATCAAGTCATCGCGTTCCGCCGCAGCGCATCCTCCACCGAGCGATGCCAATTCGTTTGCGTCAAGAAGAACGCCTCAATGATCGAGACCAACAACAAGGCCAACGCAACGCCAGACCACAATCCAAACAACCCCCAATTCAAACCGAACGTCGTGCCGAAACTAATCGGCATGGCGATAGCATAGTAGCAGAACAGCTGGACGTAGCCGCCGATTTCTTGACGGCCGATACCGCGCAGGATACCATTGCAGTTGGCAGCCAATGCATCGAACAACTGGAACGCCGCGCACAGAGGCAGGACCTGGGCGACGAGCTCTATTACCTCCTCGTCCGAGGTGAACAGGTAGGGGATGTAGTAGCGCAGGGAAGAGAGGAGGAGCATGTTCAGCAGACCGACGATGACGGCGCCGACCATGGATACCTTGGCGGACAGCTTGGCGGCATCGACGAGCGTCGCGCCGATGAGATTGGCGACGCGGGTGCTACCGGAGATGGAGACGGGGAAGGGAATTTGGAAGGTAATGCTGGAGATGGTGGACAGGACGGACTGGGCGGCTAACGGGGTGGTGCCGAGATACGAAGACGCCAGGGTCAGGACTTCGAAGGCAAGACACTCGGCTTCAACCATGAGGAGCCCGGGAAGGGCGAGCTTGATCATGGGTCCCCAATTGCGTAGGGCGCGGGTGGTGACGCCGTTCCAGCATTCGGAGCCGTCAATGAAGTACACGTACAGGAAGAGGAAGAGAGGCATCAGGTTGTCTGTGATGGCTACGGCAATGGGAGCTCCGATGAAGCCCCAGCCGAACTGCCACACGAATACGTAGTTCATCACTGCATTCAACGGGGCACAGATGAGAAGAACATAGAGCGATGCAGAGAACAGTCCCTGCGCCTGCACGAACCGCTTGCCACTTTCGAAGCAAGCGTACCCCGGAGCACCCAGCGCAACCACCTTCAGGTACAAGCCGGCCAGCATGGCAACCTCTTTTTCCGGCACGATCCGGATGAGAATCCGGTCGGCGAAGAACCACAGCACGATAATAGGGATGGAGATGGCCCAGAGGAAGAAGACCATCTTTTGCATCTGCAGACCTACCAGCTTCTTCCTTCCGGAGCCATACGCCTGCGCACACAGAGTATCCAGACTCGTCGCCAGACCTTGGTAAACTGCACAGAGTCGATCAGTATCAAAATGAAGACACGCCCAGGCAATTGAACATACCAGCATAACCCGTAATACTCGCACTCATACTAGCCAAACTAACAGCCCCAAGCTCCTTCTTACCCAGATGCCCGAGCGTAAAAATACTCGCGACAGTCAACGAATACTGCAACAGAAATGTAACCACCAAGGGCGCAGCATTCTTCCCAATGACTTGAGCTTCCCGTTTCCATGTCGTCTGAATCAACCCAGCGGTAACCGCCTCCTCCCACTTCCGATCAATCTCATCCTGATCTTCCACCGCCTCATATTGTGATCCACGACGCTGCCCACCCAACAACGCAGCCGTCTCCGTCGCTTCCACGGGCTCTCCCCGTCTCATGCGCCCACCCTTGTGCACACCCGGCTCGATGCAACGATTATCAGTGAGCAAATTCCGCTCATCCTCAATTGCCCGTTCCCGTTCCCGCCGCGTCAACCCCTCGCTATCCGGCCGATGCGGCACAACCGTCGCATGCGAGACAGTCGTGAAGAACCCGGGCCGCTGGTACGACCCAGCTAGCGAATGGGGATTCGTGCCGGGTTGGCTGTGAATGGCACGGATGGTGGAGGTCTCGGAGGCTTCGTCGTCAGTGGTGAGCATGGACCCTTCGTCGTCGGCGTAGTCTTCAATGTCGCGGGCAATTGCGGTGCGGGCGAGCGGCGAGCTGGATCTATACCGGCTGTGAAACTCCTCGTCTGTGATCCCGCGTATGCTGTTCCGGCGGGCCATGGTGCGGAAATGGGTTCCACGGGGGAAGGAAGGTTGGTTGGTCTGCTGCTGGTGTGTATCACTGCAGTTGCAGGCATCCGTGCAATTGCACGGGAAGGACAGGGGGTGTGTATGTTGTGTGAGAGAGGAATTGGATCCGCAGGAATGGGGAAACAGCAGGAATTAATAGCAGGATTTAGTTAGACAGCAGGGAGAGAGGTTTTGTATGGGAGATGCGCAGGGATCCGGTAATCGCATTACGCAAGGAAGAAAAGCGCAGATTTTGCCGCTCAGGCCATGATGATCCACTCACTATCTGGAGTTTCTACCAATTGAGTGAGTGAGTCATGGGTTGGTGTGCTAATTCTCCAAGTTTTAACCGGATTGGGATTGCGCTAGTATGGATGATAGCGATACAAAATACGAAGTATAAGTTAGTATAGCGATGTCTATACACACCACTGAGAAGATATATCCCGGTAGAAGAAAAGAAGTAAGTATGAATGAACAACAAGAATGCAATGATAGACCCCGCAAATGAACGGACCCCACGGTGGATGAAAGATGCCAGGAATGCAGTACGTACCAGTATTAGTTACATACGACGGTAAAGATAGCCCCTCGGCCAATGATAAGACGATATAACAATCCCAAACGAGCTGGTCCAGCCGAGACTTGAATCGCGGTGGATCAACAACCAGACAAGCTGTGATGATCCATATCCACACAAGCTGTCTGATGGCAGATAGCAGATTGACAATGATATAGATCGTATATCTGCAACAAATTGATAATAGTCTACCTACGCCGTATAATCGCATTAGCACATGTAATAGAAAAAGATCACGGGATCAACGAAAATGACATCATGTGGACACCGCATCACGTGTCTCCACATAGACCCTGTGCTTGTGCTTTATGTAGGCACATTCATATAAGACATACACCGATATAGCATAGTTACTTATAGCTATTACTCCTACTAGGCTACTTCTAACTAAATTTATCCCATTAAACTCACCGTAGCTTTTTCACATACTGCACACCACACACACACACACACACACACACAACATTATCAATATACAACAACAAGAAGAACACCACCACCACCACCATGTCCACCACAACCCAACAACATCAACACCAAGAACCCCAAGAATCCCAAGAACAAGAAAACACCCACACCCTCCCCAAACCCCCCTACAACCCAATAATAAACCCCTCCAACACGCGCCCAATCCTCGCAGACGAGTGAGTCCACACCCTCTCCCCCACCCCATACCCTCCAAAACTAATAATTATCTCCCCAGACAAACCTCCCTAAAATCACACATCTTCCTAACCCGCCCCTACATCTCCACCCTCCTATTCGAAAACGCCACTTCCGATGCGCGCGACCACTGCGCCAACGAGCGGACTTTCCTCTCCTGGCTGCGTCTCTCAATGTACCTAGCCATCGTGGCCATCGCCATCATAATCAGTTTTCATTTCCAGACCCCGCCAACGGGGCTGGAGCGGCGGATGGCGTTACCGCTGGGGATTGTCTTCTGGGTGTTGAGTATTGCGTGTCTGGTGAATGGGTTTGCGAATTATGTGCGCACGGTGAAGAAGTATAGTCGGAAGGCGGCGCTCGTGCAGAGTGGGTGGAAGACGCAGGTGACGTTTACGGTGGTCGGGACGGTGATTTTGGGGAGTTGTGTGTTGTTTTTGGCTACGGATGCTAGTACGAATTGATTTGATTGAGCATGTTTTTTGGGGTTGGTTTGGGGGGAAGTGGTAGTGGGATATGATTATAAACAAAGCTAAATGGACACTACACTCGATAGTATGTATGTAATAGGGCCATCAAACGCTGCAGGGAATCATGTCAGGGGATATATGTATGGTGAACCGTGTACAGGCTGCAGATGCAGAAAGATCACAACTTTATCGTCATCGTCTTCGCCTCATTTACATCCGCCGGATCTGCTGCTCGTTCTTGTATCCCTCTAGCGACGCTGAGCCCAGGTGGCTCCACCATTCGAACAGCATCGAGTTGCAGATCAGCTTGAACCACGGCGTGAACTTCAGTCCTGGTTGCTCGAACATCTGCTTCAGCTCGTCCGCCGACACATACCGCGTGTCGCGCACTTCGTTGGGGTTCACGTTCAAGTCGACGTCGGCCTGGATGAACAGAATGTAGTCAACTGGGTATGGTCAGCCACCTGTCCAAAAGCTCATGACGGGTATCGACATACTCTCGTGCTCTCCCCACTTGCCATCACTGGGCGCCTTGTAGTGGATGCGGGTGAAGAACTCGAACTTGTCCAGCGGCACCTGCTCCGGCTTGATACCCAATTCGTGTTCCAGCTTGCGCTGCGCCGCGCGCTTCACACCCAGCACGGCCGCATCGAGCTGCGAGCCAGTCTCTCCGGGGATGCCCAGGGGGTGGGAGCAGCAGGTGTTCGTCCACATGTCGGGGAAGGTGATCTTCTCGGTCGCACGTTGTTGAAGCAGCAGACGCTTGTTCGAGTCGAAGAGGAATACGGAAAAGGCACGGTGGAGGAGGCCGCGATCAATGTTGGTCATCAAGTGGCCTGTGGAGTCGCGCCATCAGCATGGACTCTCTTTCAATGCTGGGTGAAGAACGATAAACTTACAGGCCTTCTTGCTGGCACTGCCAATCGGCTTGTCGTCGTCGTCCAGCACAATACACACCTCTTCCATCAGGCGGACCTGTTCCTCATCGTAACCGGCAAGCTCGTCGCCCGGGGCGGAGGCATTGCTTGTCGCAGTGGGGAGCACCTCCCGCGCAAGAGAAGTGTCAACCTCGGGGAAGAGAGTCGCGACGTTCTCAGCCGTGATTCTCGGCGTCTCAGTGACGGTAGTGGTGGCACTCATCCTGATGATTTGGCTGGAAGAGTGAAGAAATCGACTAGGCCTCCGGTGCTGTACAGAATGGGGCGAAAAGAGTGAAATCTTGGGGAGGGAGAACGACCCCCTCGATGTGGGGAGAACAGAGCGGGCGCCTGGGCGGTGGCAGAAAACCCATCGGGCGGCGCGGTTCATCATTTCCCTTTTGCAATTGGGTCATTCACTGCCCTATTGCTTATAATGTTCTTGTGCAGTCTACGGACAAACTGTTCAGGCTGGCGGCATAATTGCTTCGGAAAACAGGATACTCCGGCGCTCCCCAGCTGGTATGTAGGAGCAGAATGCCAATCATGCGCTCAATGTCAGCCGAATACCGGGCCGTGGCATCTCCCTTTCCCTGGCCAGGTCTGCAAGCAGCTGGATTGAACGTCCGTCGGTACAGAGGCTAGAAAAGCAACCGCCCACTGGCTGTTCGCATCAGTCCAAAGCAGATCGAGGTGGACAGACAATGCATGTCCATGCCTGTCCATCCTGTTAAGACCAAACTTTATGGGGCTGACAGAGCTTCCGCGCTGTATGCCTGCCAACTATTACCAACAACTGTTCGTTGAGGCGCATTGCAGGCATGTTCTTCAGTCCGGCAGTTTCAGGCCTGCAGAGTCGGCATAGCATAGCCTCTTGCCCACGCATATAGCTGCAGAACTTGGTGGGACATGGCCAGCCGCTCAACAGCGTCTACCAACCCGGTTAATTATTTTACTGACTCGGCCCCAATTGATCGGGGTGTCTCATTCCGTCGGGTCCTAGTTTCCCTGCTCATTGCTGGAGCCTGACACAACCTACCACTGGGGGCGAAAGCCGCGCAACAAGCACACTCCCAGTGCTAGACCATACCAACAGTGCAAACGGACTGTCTAGTGTCTTGGTATCCAGATGGAAGTTGTCCGACACGACAGCTCTTGTCGCTTAATCTTCATTGCTCTCTTCGGATCCGTCGGACGCGGACGTCCGATTAGTAGGTCGTAAACACTTTCGTCGCTAAACAACCAGCAAGGGCCAATAAGCGTCCAATGCACAAGGCGTCAGGATTGGTCCAGGCGTTAATCCCATCGTAGCCCCCATTCGTAGTAGTTGACTAGGCCGCGATTAATATGAGGATGGCTCGTTAGTGTATTGCCCCTTGATTTAGCAGCTTCGTTGGACCTGCTCCCGTGTCGGAGTTTAGAACGAAGCTATTCAGTACTGGGCGGAGTTAATTTCCACTCGCGCGCTTAGTTTCTGGTATCGAGAAAAATGGCGCCATTCATGATTCCCCGCCTTCAGCGACGGTCACTCCGACCACTAACTCAACCATTCTATGGCTGCAATGCCGGAAAGTGGGCGCGTCAACCCAGTTTATAAGGGAAAACTCGTCACACGTCACACAAAGAATGTCTGAAATTCTCTCAAAGCAGCAAAAGTCGCAAGTTATAAACCAACAGCGCAGTCGATCAAACATCCGAAGGGTCAAGGTATCCGTGCCGTGCGCTTGGCAGGATCAGTCCGTGTCGCGCTTGTTTGAACCTAAACCAGCTCGTTAGGGGTCTGGATTCTTCCATCCGATAAATCGAACCATAGCCGGTCGCAGAACTATCGGATGGGTGATGATATACGGAGACCTGGCTCCACTCGACTTAGAGTTGGAGCCATTGTGCGCAGATAAAAGTCACTTGCGCCGCGGGGATCACCGCGAAAGAGGAAGGACTCTCAGAGCATGTTCCAACTTCCGTGCCTTCAGTTAGTCCCGATGGGTCCGCTAGGAAGCCTTCCGACTTCCCCATAGTCCTCCAACCCAGAACGGTAATGGTTATCTCGATGGCGCACGACGATAGGTAGGCCTTGCTGACAACTCCCGCGGACGTATGGAGCATTCCTATTATCGTGTGTCTCTGGTCTTTCTTTGTGCTCAAGGGACCCGTTCCTCGCGCCGCTCCTTCATCGTTAAGTGGCCGTCAACCCACTTATCCTGCCCCCCCATGTCCGATTCCGTTCCGTGTGGACTGGATTTTCGGCGTGTATTAAGTTTGTTAGGGCAATTAACGCAGCACTTGGCTCGTTCCTGGTGTGTCTAGCTGGTATAAGCTTCCGCGCTGCACCTTGTTAACGAGTCGTGCAAGACCGGAACATGTCCATGCTTCTCCGCTTCGTACTTTTTCCCCGACTAATGCCTAGCACGGCGATAATATTCGTCGATACTGACGCGCCATTGGGTGGTCCTTCATAGATAGCGAGATGGCATAGGATTGCGTGAATCAATAATGGAACAGCCGGCCTAGTAGCGCCTCTTCCGGGGCCCATCTCTTCCGACAATGGTCTTGTAACAGGTTCGGACCAAGAGGAATCGGGAAGTCCTCCCGATGATTTTGAAAGTGAGGCTTTATTCTGCAGGAGCAAGCAATGTGAATCGTCGTCTGCAACGCGCTTCTGTGAGCTCACTCTGGCCATGCGGCCTAAAGTCATGCTGCTGTTGGGTGGACCTAAACAAACGGTCCACTTTATGGTCCACAAAAGTAAGTTGTAAACAACTTGCAAGAATAATCAGAATAGCCCAAGAGACGGTAGAGGCACTTGTGGCGGCTAAAGTCTGTTAAACGAAAGGCATGGACCTGCCATGCGCTGCTTGATTTCTATAAGCCGCCTTTGGGTGACGACGGATCTCTAGCGATATTCCAAAAATATGCAAAACTAAAAGTCGACAAGGCCTCCCTGATGAGAAAATAAACAATCAAAACAAAAGCAAACTGCCTCCCTGCGCTTATACAAAGAAAACACAAAAAAAATACATGGGTAGTCATGCTTCCAAATATACAGTGGATCCTCTCCAAAAGTATGCAGCCGTATCGTTCATGGCCAGCTGCGATCAACGCAGGCATGGTCTAGAGCAGGCAAATAAACCGTCAAATAGCTGTTTAGTGTGCGTAGTAGTCATGAGTGGGGTATGGCGCGTCTGTGTCGTTTCGGGAGGCTCGTGTCTTCCGGATTCTTCCATCGCAGCCGTCGGACTGATGTCTGTAGCAGAGTGAGTTCGTTGATTCACATTGGTGTTGGACAAGATACGGTACCTTGACAATGTGTCCTGTCGACTGTAGCGCCGACCACACTTCTCACAGCCAAATTTGCGTATTCCCCGATGGATCTGCGCATTCTATTAGTAATGAACTTAGCTCTATCCGAAGTGACTTACGCTATCTACGTGTCTCTTCAGGTCAGTCCTCCGCCTAAATTCCCGCCCGCAAGTCTCACACGGATGTGGCCTTACGTAGCTAGGGTCGTGGCTTTTCATATGCTCTTTACAGTTAGAGCGTCGTGTGAAGCGGACACCACACGTAGGACACTCTAAGCCGCTCGCCGACGGTATCCTGGATTGTTCTCCCTTGGGCGATTCGCTAACATTCTCGATCCACTTTGAAATTGCCTCATCAGGGACCAGATCCGGCGCAACACTTTTGTTCGGGTCCATCTCAGTTAGGGTGTTATTCGGTCGTTGAGGATGCAGATATGCGGTGTTGATCTGAAGTCGAGGGATCTCTGGCATCCTGGAGACCATCGTATTGGATGATTCGTCCAGGAAAGACGATTCCCAGACGTCCTCTGTCGGATCTTGCACGTTGGACCAGCCTTCTGACGCGGCCATGGTTTCCGAGGTAGGAGTGTTAGGCCAGAAGCGAGGTATTTCATCATGCATCGCGCCAAAATCCATGACCGGGCTGTAACTGGGTGATACTGAGATGTCTGCATGGCTACCGAATGCTTCGTAATGAGTCCTGGGCGGAAAATGACCGGCGTCTGGAGGGGTTTCGAGGATATTCGGGGAATGCGTTATTGGGTCGGACCAGTTGCTCGTTGAGAGTGCATATTGCTCTGGACACGGGTAGAGTCTGATCTGGCTTGAAGGGGATCCTGTTCCACAATTGGAAATTCCTAACCCGGACAACGACTGAAAGTCGTATCTATCGAGGGGAATAGCCGTTGGGGATGGGTAGGCCGGAGAAGCTTTGAGTAACCTTTGGTCATCCCGCGCCGAGTGAGCCAAGGGAGAGGATGGGAACGAGGTAGGTGTACAATCCATGACGAAATTAAGATTTAATCACAAACAGAACAGAATTGGGGAAAGAAGAAAAAAATTTTTTCGGGGAAAGCTGTAACCAGGAGAAGGATGGTTCGTGACGTTTTCTGGGTCGAAGGATCGCTTTTATGTTCACAAAACTCCCGCGACGTCCTGTGGCTGAAACTGGGGAAGGGCTGGTGGGAAGGCAACAATATTGGTGACTAGTAGATGCTATTCAAACGAGAGTGAGGAAGTTATTTGCAGTGTATATAAGTAGAAAAAGACTCAACAGCGACGCTGCTGGAAGATGAGAGTAAGTGGCGAACCATGAACAGCAGCTGAAAAAAATATCTCGGGGGATGCCATATGATGATTGGAGTACAGCAACCGCTGCATGGGGCACAGGTAGAGAGAAGAAGAAGAGATGAGCAACAGGTTTGACGCCTCATCAGGCAAGGCAGAATTGACGGGACGTTGTTGCATGGATGGGAAAGAATTCAGAGCGAACCTAGCTGGAACAACGCGGTCCAAGTGGACTGCAGCCTGGGTCTGCAACATTATTCAGATAGGCGCGTCAATTAGATGCCATGCGCAAGAATTTAGCGCCGGAAGGGTGTGATCAGGCCAAGGTGTCAGTCGGCGCTGTACCCTGTCGCGAGGGAGAGGAAGAGGGAGGGGGGTGTGGGTGTGGATGGTGCATGGTTTGATTCACACCGGACGACGCCGTCATTTGTCGCCTAGCGGACATGACCGGGACCCAGCAGATCCATCAGCCAGGGAAATCATGACATCTGAATGGTACAAACGTAGAGAGAAATGTAGGGAACCAGATAGTAGTGTTAATTGTAAATGTGTAGTGGGGGGGTGTGTGGTAGGAGACCCCGTTAGGTTAGGGGATGCAGTGCCTCTTGGGACAACAAGCATGGCGCTGGGGAAAAGACGGGCAACAATAGCGGCTGAATTATTGGCAGCATGGACGGGGGGAATGCCTGGCTTCCTGATCAGCAACAGTCGGCTGGAGCAGCGCGCTTTTTTTCCCTTTTCTCCTGTTCTCCTGCTCTTAATGAAACGGGAATAGTAGGACCCGACAGTTTGGTACCTAGCTTGGCGAAGCAGCATTGCAGTGCGTGTCGCCAAAGCAGGCCGGTTGGCAACACTGCCTCATTATCGGCGAAGTAGTATGCATAAGCCAAAAATAATACCCAGTCAGGTACTGCGGTACATCAGAGCCTCAATGAAGGGTACCTGGAAGTAATAGAGAGGGTGGATGTGAGAAGAATGGATGTTGTAAAAAGTGGTGGTTGATATGGTTGCTGCGCGGGACGGAGTATACTAGTAGGACTAACAGTTAGCGAGGAGAGGAGGAGGAAGAAAAGAGAAGTAGTGAGGTTCGGTGGTTGAGGGAACGGCGGACTGACAGACCAGTGACAGCCAGGCTGTGGACGGAAGGGAGAGTGACCACCACTACTACTCTGTACCTACTACTTACTACCTACTAACTAACTGGGCAGGGCAGAAGAGGGGCTCCCGCCTCTAATCCTGGTCTTTACCAAAGAGTAGTATTGTACTAGAGACACTCTCTGGCTTTCCCACGACCATGGCAGTGGCCCAGTTTCCCTGTTACTAGTTACCTGCCGCTCACTCATGGTATCATTCGGTAATCCCCTGAAATTACTATTTTTTAATCTATCTACTTTTTTCCCCTTCTTTTATTTCTTTTTCTTGCTCTCTGCTGGCCTCGGTTCCTGATTGATTATTAGTCTACTGCCTTCCTTTGTTGTTATTTTTCCTGTTTCGAAAATATTCCCTGAGAGACCCATTTGTGGGACTAGTAGTAGGAACATCATCTAAATCCCATCTCGGAATCTATTCTATTTCTATCTGTAATAAAAGAGAACCAAAACAAAAAGAAAAAAAAAAAATGAGAGAAAAAAAAAAAGATCGCTGAAGAAATACAACAGAATGACAAATTACAAACGACAATCGCCCAGTGCACTCCGTACAAAGAAGTTGTTCGTCGCTGGCGGGTCTCCAACTACTCCGTCCCTCCGACCTACGAAATGGTCACTGGCCGGTGCTCACGCTAATGCTTTAGGCTCTGGCACCGGCCTGACGCCAGGTGCGTGTGTATACCATTCTTCCGCTGTGGTCCCCTCCCCTCCTTCCATTCCTTCTGCCCTGCACCGTAATATACCACTTTCTGACACCTCTCCCGACTTTCTGTAATTACCCTCATTGGCTTCGCTGGTGAAAGGCCATCCGAGCAGCCACTCGATCCACTTGTGTGCGCAACCGTTCCACCTCGTCGATCATATCCGCGGTGTCACCACGCCCAGCCTGGCCCGAACTTGGTCCGCGCGCCTCGGGATGCTGGCCCGGGTTAGACCGTTCCTTAGGCCGGCTGGATGCCCACGAACGCCCTTCCTGTGCGGAGGCATGGAGCGGGGCATGGTGCGTGGAGAAAGGGAACCCCATCTGGATGGAGGATGTTGGTCGACTGCTTGTGGTGGTCGTGGCAGTTGGTGGAAATTGGCTATTTCCCCGAGAGACGTAGCGGCGGCTAGATTCATAGGCCCAGATCAGTGCGACAAACGGGAGGTGGGTGGCCCGGAGCAGAACGATGCGCACCCGGCGGATGTGCTCTGCAGGTAAGAAGAGCCTCATGGGGCGGATACAGAGGAGGGGAATGAGGTTCTATCGTGGAGGCATGGCTGCTGTCAGCGACACCACCCAACCCGGTCATGCAGGGGCCAAAAATTAAGTATCGTGGGGGTTGTTTACTGACCAAGGGAGGCATGAAATACGTCAATCTCCGAGAATTACTGCTCTCGAGCACGTAGATAGACAGTCTATTGCCACACACATCAGCGGGAGGAGCCGTAGGGCCGAAGGAAAGTAGTAGTATGACACATACTGAAAGAGATACTCTTCTCGGGCATGCGCCATGACCTGGACGAAGGGCACAGTTGGGTAGACAGATTAGCATGGCTCATGCACAATAACATAACTAACAACAACAACATGTCGGAGGGGAGGCCGGGCAAGCCCCGCACCTAGTAGTAGTCGAAGTGGTAGTATGATGTGGACAGTTGGAGCGACTTACCCCTTCCAGACTCATGCTCATGAGACTGACCAACGACGAGATCAACAGAAGGTTGGTCATCGAAACGAAAATCAACCTGTCGACCATACCAATCAGCCACTTTCCTGTAAGCACCGAAATTATTATGCCGGAATGATCGTCCGAATGCCGCCATTCGCGAGAACACGCGAGGCTTCATTTTACTCTGCGCCGCGACCGATTTGACGCCATGTGTTTCCGGGCGGCACCGGGTCTCCAGCCTCTAGGAACAGAACTGGGTCGCATCGCCTCAATGTCCCACGGAAGCATCAGGAGGAGAAAGGAAATGCATGGCTGGTAATCGCGGTCGCAGGGCAGCTGGAAACACATCCAACGTGACCAAAAGTGTATGCGACCGACACATCTCATGGAGCCTGTGGCGCAGTAGAGGTCTGGGGATTGGAGAAGCACTCACATCAGACCGTAGCCAAAGATCGGGGAAATCTAAGAATTAGCGTGTCAGTAAAACTTTCCACGAGAGCCAACCGATTCTGCAAGACCCCTGGAAATTCGGGTTTGGGCTGCATGGCGGCCGCGCTGCTGCATTAGACTCACATCGTGAGCGATGTCCTTTTCCAATCATTTCAGCCACCGTCAGTTTGAAGAACACATGTTACCCGATTAGGAACAACGCACGAAGCCCAGCACATTCGATCTGCCTCGCTCTGTCAGTCAACTGGCGGTCGATGAGGGGGCATTTTCACCGCCATACCCAAAGAACACTTTCACCAAAATCCATGACATTTGCCGCAGAGAGAGGCGGTCACGGGCGAGCATCGTGAAGGTGGTCAGGAACCCTGCAGATGCACATTTACCGCGCGTTGGCTTTCTTCGGCCTTGTCCTATGCGTCATCGGGGTCACCTACCAAGGTATAGCACTACGACTATCGGAATAAATCGAAAAAACGCTTTTGTCTAGAACCCCCTTATCAGCGTCTTTCGCCACCTGCCACCGTCTGGGCGAGCGGAGAAACTATACCATCTCCTTGAGAACAGGGATCTGTGCGTCGAAACTGTCAACGTGGCTTCCAGAACAGGGTTCTTCCGGGTCTACGCCTGCATGGATTGCCTTACCAGACTTCCAAAATAGGAGTTCAAACTCACAAGGGAGCAGATCCTGTTCAGCTCTTGTGTCAGAACCTGAAACAGGTATCAAGATCATCGGAGTAGGGGGCTTAGTCTTACCTTGGAACCAGGAACAAAGCCTCCAACGATAGAATATCAAACGACAGGTCTGTGATGTAATCACTTTGTTTGGCTAGTCCAATGATCCCTGGATAGTCGTGTAAGTCAACAATCGAACCACACTGCGGCCCGCTAAGTGAGCCCAGCTGCGGAAACAGGCCCAGCTGAAAGAGCTGAATGCGGACAAGGCAGATCTATAGCATGGTGTAAATGACTCACTGGCAATGACAAAGGCAAGGCCTGTGCCAATTATGCCCATATTCCAAGCGCTCCAGAAGTCCATCTGGTAGAAGAGCATTCCGGTATCAGCCATCCCGCTGACTTCATCGTATGCAAAGGCAGCGATCCAGATATACATCATAGTCTCAAAGATACCTATGCCAGTAGGCTTCCTCTCGACTAATACCGCATAATAGAGAAATAGAAACGAGACAAAGAAGGCCGCTTCAAAGGCCTTTCGATACACTGGCACTCTCAATCGTGAGTATGGATCGGCGGTTCTGCCAGACATGGATATCAGCATCTGGCAACTAGGTCAGGTAGCGCAGAGGCGGGTTACCTTTTGTTGAAAAATTGGGGTTTCTTCTTTGAATGCACGCTCAAAGAGTCCCAGAAAACAATCTCGCCCTTCCAGATATTGTCTATCACCTTCTGAACCACCTTCTGGCTGAGAAACCTTTTGGCGTGTGCAATTGTGGCTATCTCGAGTGCGTTC